TAAAAGTTTAAATCTCTAATTTTAACTCTAAATTAAGATTTTAATTTAATTAATACTAAATTAAATTCTTATTAAAAAAAACCCTAATTATCCTTTTAATTTGATCGTAACAAAACAAATCAAACTAAACAGTGATATTCAAAAAATATTGTGTTCTCTCATCTTTGTTAACTCCCAATAAAGAAAAAAATTCAAAAAAATCGCATGCTGTCATCTGTTATTGTCAATAGAAGAACTTCCTTTTCTTTTCCTAATCAAATAATAAGCAAGACCTCCTAAAACAAGCAGAATTATCAACCCATCAACAACACCAACCAAGACCAAAACCCATTTCTTTACATTGTGTTTGCTGTGATTTCCTTTGCTTCCTTTGGGAACCTTCACCAAATAGCTCAACCCTGATTCTCTCTCCACCTGTTTAACCCCCACAACCATTCTGTAAAGAAAGCATTCTTGAAGTATAGATGAATACATTGCAGCTGCACATTCACAGTCATCCAAGCACGAATTCGAGCATTCTTCCTTGCTAACGTTAACCCTCCTTGGTGCATCTGTTAGTATGCTGCTGACCCCATTCAATTCAAGCATTTCCAGCGTTTCCATTGGAGTTTTCCCACAGAATCCTCCTGAAATCCCCTCATTACAACCTGAACTCAAGTGGTCATGGTTCTGATCTTCCTTGGCTAAGAGTCTTATGCATGAACAAGTATTGGAGAAAGTACAAATCCCATAAGGCTTACATGCTAGAGGAAGATCACAGCTTCTGTTAAGTGCTTGAAATGAGGCTTCAAACCTTCCCATTTCAGGTGAGTAGAAATATAGTCCCAAATTTCCTGTTTGATTCCCCAGAGCCAGAAATCTGAGAGGTTGTGATATCTGCGACGAAATCTGCGCAATTTTCTTGTATTTTTCATTGAATAAAAGTAAACCTTTTGAACCCAATTCAGCAAAAGTAATGTTCCTATCTTTAGAAGGCTTGAATTCCCAGTAAGAATAGTTTAAGTCACCTGAATTTACATACAGGGCAACCCTGTTGTGTTGAATTTCAAAGGTATAGAATGTACTTGAGTTGCTTGGAAATGAAGTCAACCTGGTGGCCACATCCAGTCTCTGTCCCCACAGCATTACATCTGTTGGAAAATTGAAACTCTGCCATTTTATCCGGTTTAAAGCATCAAGCAAGACCAGATTGCCAGTCCTCAATATCTGTAATCTCTGCATTACGAGGAGAAAGAACAACCCCTACATTAGTCCTTATTCTGATTTCTTTAATATTTAATGGTACCTGTTTGGCCTAACTTCTAGAACAGTTTCTTTACTGCAAAAACGTTTTTAATTTTCCAAAATAACTGACGTTTGCTATAAACCAAATAACCAAAAATAAAAAAACTTTACTCAGAGTTCTTTACAAAAGTTACAGTTAGGCCAAACAGACTTAGTTTTACCTCCACACCTTGTCCAGAAGTCCCAGTCCACCAACCTGCTTTTCCTTTGGGACCCTTGAGCTGCAAATCTCCATCTTTTGTAAGCTCGAGCAGGCATATATCATTCGTGTAAAACTGCGAGTAATGACCAGAGTTCCATACCTTCACATCTCCAAGAAACACTTCCAAAGAACACGAATATTTCTCATTCATGGCTTCAATACTCAATGCAGCTCTGAAATTTGGCTCCATCTGGTCTGTCTCCATAACAAAAGCTCTTCCATTGAATCCAGTAATGTATTCCACCGGCACTGCGAGACTGACTCTGTGGCCTACATTGATGGAAGAATCAGAGCGACCAAGATAGAAGAGAAGCATGAGAATAGTACAGTAGAGATAGAGGTCCATGGTGGGGGGGGGGGGGACTGAGTTGAGTTTTTTGTGGCAGAATTTGTGGAGTGGAGGGAGGGGGTCTGATTTCGCTCTATTATTGTCATGGAAATGTGGGTGCTAAGGCGGTGGAGTAATTGATGCTGATGATGGCATTACAGCATGGGGGGTCGTTAATTACTCTATTTTGTGTACTCATTACTAATTAAAGCCCTCAAAAAGTAGAGCAATATGCAGGTGGGTGTGTGCACAGGCTGTCCCATGTGGAAGGTGTTTCATTAGTAATAAGATGAGAGTAATTAAAGGCTTCTTAGCTGTGATTTGGACAATTTGGTAGTAGCACTTGGGTTTTAGGGTTCAAATAATTACACATTGGGAACTCCAAAATTAAAGAGAAAAAATTCTTGAAGCCGAGTAGGAGACAATAGAGGAGTTCATTTGAGTAGTACAATTCTCGAGTGGATGATAGGGCTTTTAAGAGAGTTGAATTCAAATTCGATTTATTTGTAAAATAAGGACTACTACTTATATATTAGTTTGTATAATTTAAGTGATATATTAATATTTAATTCATTTCATTCACATTTCATATGATATAAGATACGTTAAATATTACGGTCAAACATTTTTTCTTGTAATTATATAATATTTATATATATTTGATAATTTTTTT